TTTATATAATTTCACTGGATTTTCTTTGTAAGGATATCCTTCCGAGTGATATAGGTACTAATATGTAACATAAAAAAAAAAAGTCTTAAATCTGATTGTTGTCAAATTAATAAATTATTATTGTACTATATCTACATGTGTCATTTACCGTTCTATCAAAATTTGGATTTAATCTCAAAACAATGGCTCTTTGATCTCGATCCTTGGCAATTCGAAATTCTTCAATTTCTTTAACATTTATAACGATTTCATCTTTCATATTATTTAAACAAATTGAAATTTCTCGACTTTTTCCACGCACTAAAAGTGCCATATCTCCCACTCCGGAAGAAAACATACGAACACTTGTTTTTTTGTTAAAGGTAATTGCTCTCAATGGTATTTTGGATTCATGGTTATTAACGTTACTTGAACGAGGAGTGACAGTTATCGACGTACCACCTTGAGGAAAGGTAGAAAAAGTGGAAAGAGTAGAGAAAAGGGGAAAATTGGGAAAGTGGAAAAGTCGAGAAAATTGAGAAAGTCGAGAAAAGTGGAAAAACGAGAAAACCGAGATAAGTGGGAAAAGTGTAAGAAATGATCAATAAAAACTTTCAATGTTAGGTCATAATGTTATATTAAAATACATTCATTTACCAGATACCCATTCTATATTATCTAGATTACTTAGGCTTTCTTGAGAGCTGCTTTCCATTTTAACGATAAGATGCTTTGAAAAATTTTATCGATATATACTGTCTAAACAATACTGCGGAACAATCAAGTTCGACGAAAAATGTGTAACGTGGTACATAGATCAAATAATCATATGCCAATCATCTTTTTAAGAAAGACTTAATTTTAAGGTTCGTTTACTCTTTCTAAAAAGTTCAAATATGATAGATCACCTCCTTGGAAGGCCCTCCCCTTCCTGGAAACGATTTCAAGTGTTTCTCGTTTCACTTACCTGGTAAAGAATATTCTTTAAATTTTAAGCTTTCCGCTAAAATTCGTAAATATTTACGTGATCTCGTCTTTAGGTTCTTTGTTTTATTTAAAATCGATCGTCGAGGACCAAGATTTCTTCATATATGGAATGAAAAGTTCTGTAAGTTTTTTTTTTACATAGCTATTAATTTATCTTTTGGTTTAGTATTTATTTATCATTTATCGTTAAATAGCTCGATTTTCTCCATTTCAACTGGTGGCTGGAACTCTCGCTGTATTATACATTTTGAAAAATGCCGATCGTATGATAGGACTTGGAGGTATTCTTATACTCAGATTCCTCCACATTTTAGTTTTATTTATTCATTTTTTCTGATTCACTCACAACGTTCTTCGCTCTAATAAATAGCTCCTGAACCACTTGCACGACTAGTATGTGATAACATAATATTTTGCATTACAATTTTCTTTTTCTTACAAATCATAATTGTGTTGCTATTTGACATATATAGTATAGTCGAAATTATTATCGAGCCACGTGGATTCTTACTGCATTAGATGCTGGTTTTTGGACTGCAATGCCAATTCGTCCAAAACTGTTTCGAGATATAATGAGTATTCTTTTTTCGATTTATTATCTAATATTTGCTGACCAAGCGGACGAAAAGGTATTAAATTATATTTTAATTATTTTTGATAATTATAAATGACATATATATATATATATATGTATATATATTTAGTATATATTTTGAATCAATTAATATTTATATCTTACTGATTTAGACTAGACGAGTACGTGCTACAGTTACTGTTGAGCAGCTTCGTACATCATGGGAAAAAACTCTTAACCCTTACTTACGTGCGTTAATAAGGTGTACACATCCACGTTTAACTATTCATCAAAAGAAAGTTTCGATTCCTCGACCAGAAAATAGTCAATATTCAAAACTGGTCACTGGTTATATATATTATGAAGGTCCTCTAGAATCGTTCAAATATTGTGATAACTTGATACTTAACTATCCTGGTGGTGGTTTCATTGCAATGCCTCCTCCATGTCATGAAGATTATTTAGCTCATTGGGCTAAAAAGACTCAAGTACCTATCCTAAGTATTGACTATGGGAAAGCCCCCGAATATCCTTATCCTTATGCTTTAGATGAATGTTTTGATGTTTATCGAAGTATAATTGAAAGTAATGGTGAAGTAATTGGAATGGCTGGTTGGAAAAATAAAGATGGTAGTAAGAGAAAACAAATAAAAATGACTTTGGTTGGCGACTCTGCGTAAGTTAAACTTTTTATAATATTATTTTCTGCTTTATTGAATTTTTTTTTTTTATACAACGATAATTGATGTTTAATATTACTAAGTGGAGGGAATCTTGTTGCGTCAGTCATGTATAAAATTCTTGAATATCAAATGCCCATTCCCCATCCCAATGGTTTGATTCTCATCTATCCCGTGCTTAATTTTGATATTACTTGCTGGATGCCACCATCTCAGCTATCGGTTATTAGAGCCGAATCTACGACTTCGATTCCCGGTGTACTCGAATCCAAAGATCACCTGAGTCACAAAAGTCCTTTAGCTGTGGTTCCTGATGTTAAGAAAAGAAGATGGAGAAAGAGTTTTTCTGGATCTAGGGAAGATGAAAGAACGATAGAAGAACGTGTTCGAGTGATTGAAGGTCATAATGTTCCTAAACATGAAAAACGTCTTCGTCCGGTTATTGGAACTCGTTTAACAATGACCAGTCGTATGAGTTTTTTTAATGACAGAATCCTTAATGCTGATTTGGTAAAGCATAATTACTAATCATATATCATATAATAAATAGATTTAAAATTTAGTTTTTCTTGTTAATTTTTTTTTTTTTCTTTTTTTATTAGATGCGCGCATTGGCAATTATTTATATTGGTCCTAACAATTATCCTGATTTCAGCTCTGAATACCTTCTTTCTCCTATTGTCGGTCCCGATGAGTTACTTGCAAAGTTTCCAAAAACGTATCTAATGTGTGGTGAAAAAGATCCACTCGTTGATGATACTGTTGTATTTGCAGGACGTATACGTGAGGCTAAAAAAAAGAAAAGGTTGTTAGAAAATGGAGGGAGATATGGGGAAGGATTTAGAATAAGCAGTATGAACACTAGTGATAATATAAATACGGATTCTGAAGATTGGGTTGAAGTGAAAATTATTCAGGGTTCTAGTCATGCATTTTTACAAATGCCAGCACTATTACCTGAGAATAAAGGTGCCATCAGAGCCTGCGCTTTATGGTTACACGAATGTTGCCAAGCTAAATCAATCGACATAAATACAAACAGTAAAGAATTAATTCATGAAGATGAAGGTTTAACATTCACTTCACATCGTTCAAAAAATAGTGGTATTGCTAATTTTAAAGAGAATGAAAATAGAGATCTAATTCTTCAAGAACCAGAACAAATTCAAGATCCCACCTTAATTAATAATAATATAAACGTCTCACAATCACTTCCTAATGTATTATTACCATCAAATGATAATATACAAAAATCCACAACTGCCACTGTTTTGGCTCCTGGACATAAACTTTGGGAACAAGAGAATATATTGAATGAAAATGAAATTTTAAAAAGACGACGAGATACATTGGTTAGAAATTTAACGGAAGGCTGTAATACTACTACCGCTGTTGAACAATCTACATCGGAAAAAGTGACTAAATAGGATATTTAAGAAATTATAAAAAATAACTAATTTTGGATTATTAATTGATTTATACCATTTACTTTATATATTATTTTATAACAAATAATAAACAAGAGAATTTTTGTGGTTGTGTGTTTATATATTTTCGTGAAAAATGTGTTTATGTTGTCTAGAGATGCTGGTGAAATTAATTTTGTTAATTCAGTATTTCAATATTAATTTCACCACTCTGATTTATTCATTTAAACGAATAATTCATCCTTTTTTTATTAAAATATATATTAAAAAAATTTTACATTTTTATACTGAAAAATATATAAATTCATAGAAACAAACCTCTAAATTTTTAATTTACAATAAGTTTTAAAAAATATTAGATATTTATTCCTAATCATTTCCTAATGACTCTTGTTAATCTTGTATATTATTGCCCTTAAATTGTCTACGCCATAACATTTCCAACTTTTTTTGTCGTCTTTCTTGTCGTAATCTTTCTTCCTCTAATTCATCCACAGGATTTCTGACAATGACCATATCTTCCAATTCAAGCGTAGCATTTAATGCATTTTCACGCGTTATTTCGTCTTCTATCCATTGACCGTTTTCATTTTCTTCTTCTTCAGGCTTTTCTATAATCAAAACTTTTTGTTCAGGAACGAATTCATTTTGAATTTGTTCAGGAACGAATTCATTTTGATTTTGTTCAGGGACGAATTCATTTCGATCTTGTTTAGAAACGAATTCATTTTGTTTTTGCTCAGGAACGAATTCATTTTGATCTTGTTGTTCAGGGACGAATTCATTTTGATCTTGTTCAGGGACGATTTCATTTTGATTTTGTTCAGGGACGATTTCATTTTGATTTTGTTGTTCAAAAACGAATTCATTTTGATTTTGTTGTAATTGAAGATATGATTCGGGATCAAAAATTTTTGCAGTTTGTGATTGAACTCTTGCTAATTTAACTGTTTCAAAAGGATTTTGAATTGATATATTATTTCTGCCAATTCCAACGTTTGTCATATTAATTATACCTATGCTTCCAAAATTACTACCGCTTGGACCACTAAAATCACTAATTGAACTAACATGACTAGTACGATTAACATTATAAAAATTTGAATCAACACCAATTCCATTCCCACTATTGTTATTAAAAAATTCATCGGACTTATTAGAAATGTTTGAATTGAAGGAAGATCTTTTAACAACAGGTATAGGTGGTAATAAAGCTGAAACAACATTTGAAGAAGTTGACTCTATATCATCATCAAAATTTTTAAACCCAATTTGCCTAGAAGGATCAGGTTTATTATTTGAAAATAAATTTAAAATCCTTTCACGAGCTGAAGAAGCTATATTACGAAATCTATTATCACCATTATTATTATTGTTATCAATATCTTGTTGTTGATAAAGTTCCGGAATTCCTCGATTATTATTATTATCGTTATTAATATTATTAATAGTAACTAAAGAACGCAAAAATTTTCTTAAACCATATTTTCGAATTCTTACTATTGTAATGAAAATGACAAGTACTGCTGCGGTACTTATAATAGATAATAGAATAATTTCAGGAGTACTAGTAGCATTTGTAGCAGGAACATCTGGAGGTTGAAAGGTTAAAATAGGTCGTTGTAAATCATTAAGAGCAGCACAAATTTGATCAGTCAAAATAGGTTGTCCATTTGATGCTAATACAGTATTATTTTTTACAGTTGTTCCATTACTATTTATAAAATCACCAGTACATCTATGAGTATCGCATTGATTAGCACTAAAGCAAGGAGTTACTCTACTAAATTTTAATCTACAAATTCCATTAGTAATTGTCTCAGAAGTTGTTGTAACACCTCCGTTAATAGAAGTATCACAAAAAAAAGGATTTTTACAATTTCCCAAAAAATCAAAAGGTTTCGTCCAAGTTCCAGTAATATTTGGTAAAAATTGAGATCCAAAAGAACTATTAACCACTAATTTAACTAAAAAATCCGCATCATCTTGATTTTTTGGTGGTATAAATGGTTGACATTGTTGACCTTCAAATTTTAAATCAGAGAAAACTAAACCATCTTGATTAGTAATTCTCCATACATTTTGATCTGTGTCATCACAATGAAACCCATTTTCGTCGACAATACAAAATGGCGCCGTAGAATTACACGAGATAAGTTGACATGGTGGTTTAGAGCATGAAGATACTGGACACATATCAATCTGTTGTGAATTTAATGGTAGATATGGTATGGATGTGGGCGTAGATATGGATGAAGTGGAAGTGGAAGTGGAAGTGGAAGTAGAAGTAAATGTAGATGTCGTGGATGTAGAAGTATAGGAAGTTGTTGTGATTATTGTCGGTGTAGCAATTAATTGTCCCTTGTTAGGATAATAATATTTGTATTTATCGTCATAATAATTTTTTTTATTGTTTTTTTTTTTTGACCTTGTAATACCAGTACGAGGTGATTTAATTTTTCTATCTGATTTTCCATATTCTCTTACGAATGTGGACAAGTCATCATTTGATGTCATGTTATCGCCACTTGAGTTAACAAAGGCTGAACCATCATCAACTCTTTTGAAAACTTTATTATTATGTTTTCGTGTATCACTAGCTCCATTTGGGTTATTGCCATTAACCTCGTTAAAATATCTTAAGTTATCGATGGCAAAAACGAGGCCAGCTCTAATGTTTATACGTATAAAGAGGATAAATATTAATATTGTCGACAATGATGATAGTGATATATTCCATGTCATGACTTTTCTTTATTATATAAAATAATCATGAGGTTAGTTGGATACAAAGCGTAGCAATTGAGATTAGTGTTTGACGACGGACTATTAACAAGGAACGATATAAAGAGCAAATAAAAGGAAGAAAATAAAATGAAACAAATTAATTAATTAATTATTATTAATATCATTTTTTGTTGAAAAAAATGAGTATTTAATCGTGCTAACGCTAATAAATTTATGATACATTGTAAGATGTATACAGGCGATCAAGTGCGTATAATGTTATATATATTTTTCATACGTATTTAATGTTTTTATGCGATGCCTTTTATAGTAGGTAACTATTATGAATATATTATATATTTCTATACATATCGATATATGAAAAATCCCTTTCTATATAAATATTTTCGTACGTAGCGGTAGCTACGTATAAAGTTTCAATACAAATATTTGAATAATTTATATTTCAATCCTTTTACGTATTATGAAAAGTTGACTTTTTCCCTTTACAGAAAATTGTTCAAGTTAAATGTGACACAATAAAAATTTTGGAAAAAAATAAGGGGAAATGGGTGGGTGGGAAGTAGACAAAATCCAGGATATTGTTGGATAGACACGGTCTAGTACTCCAGATCTGGTCAAATGATCAAACAATTTTGACCGGAATTATAACTGATGATGATACATATAACCAATCAGAATGAGCTCTCAACTAATATCTGACACGTTCCTAATATGGACTAAAAAACGTGCAGTGATGCACAATTGCCTTTTAAAGTATAAATCTTTAAATTATAACTTTCAATTGGTACGTACGTACGTACATACGAGCTATTTTTATCAGTGTTGGCCGATGACTTTCAATGACTATGACCTTCATGACCAGTCATAGGTCATTTAGTCATAATGAAGGTTAATATGAATATAGTAAAAATCATAGTAAAAAATTTTTTTTATAAAAAGTCCTACGTATTATGACCAAGGTTTTATCAAAAAATGGTATGATTTAGGTCATCGGCCAACACTGATTTTTATGATGCCGATTAAATTGGCCAGCATTATGACTAATACTGGCTAACTTTGTCTTTTCGAGAAAATGATTTTCTGGATCTTAAGTTACATTGCTTTCAATTTTGGTACAGTAACTTAGGCTAGTGTTTGTAGTCGATCCTTATTTATCGACTTGACTAAGTCGATATTTAAAATTCGGCTTAGCCGGCTAAGTCAGAGTCGATAAATATTTTTTACCTTCGGAATTTATCGGTGATTTCATCAAATTTTTGTCGTGACCTTATGTTCGTTGATTTTCTTTTCGGATTTTCTCGGCTCTTACTCTTAGCACTATGTACTAAGAGAGGTAATGTATCGAATCTGATTGGTACTTTAATATTATCTAACATAAAATCGACTAAGTCGATTTTTTGGAAAATCGGCTAACTAAGCCGGCTAAATCGATAAAAATCGACTACCGTATTTGCGCGTAATAGCGCGCAGGGGCGTTAATTTGAATCACAGTCTGAATTAAGCTTAATTTAGGCCAAAATTTAAATTTCCACCCCTGCGCGTTATTACGTGCAAATACGGTATGCGAAATCAACTACAAACACTAACTTAGGCGGTCTTTTTCTTAATTTTGATTAAAAATAAGCGTTTAGAGCTAAAACTTGGTATATACAAGAATAAGCAAAGAAGCCTATAATCAACAATCACACATAATCAAAAAAAGGACTTTTTGAATAATTACTCTGCTGAAGTGATTCCAAAAAATAACCTGATAACTTGTAATTACTTCATTAAATCATTTGATGCCTTATGGCATTCGGTACGTTCGTATACAATGTTTGCTTAGTCTAAATAAAAATAAAAAATTTCTAACATGATTAATAGTTATCGAATTATTGTCCGAAGCGTAGCGAGGACTTACTATGGAGACGCAAATGTCATGGATTTCACTCACGTGATATCGAGCCAATTAGCATTTAAATCATATGCGTTTAAAAACAATCAAGACGAAAGATCCCGTAAAAAATTATTATATTTATATAGCTTCGGACACTAACAACATCTGTTTTCCTAGTATATCATTATTAATATAAAGTAAATAGTGGTAACTCGATGAATATCCAGAGTTTCGCAAAAAAAATAAAAAAAAAAGAAAAGAAAAATACACATTGCCTTGTAGCCATTCGTTGAAGAAATTAAAAGAAAAAAGAAATTTTCGAAGACTAATAATAGGTTCCCTGAAATTATTAACCTTTTTAAATTACGACTAAATGATTTGCACCAGCGCCAATCAAATTGCGAAATAAAGCAATCCGCACAGATCCTACGTAGACACTTGAAACTATAGTTAATTTGATGTCCAAATCCAACGTCCAATCGTGATTCTTGGAACTAACCTAATTCAAATAATCCATAAATTTGATTGGTCGAAATTAAATTGGTATTAATAAATTTATATAAAGATCGCACGTAATAAAGAGGTCCTTTGTAAAAAAAAAAAGACCATTTTGACGTCCAAATTATTGGATCTTGGAGTCCCACTTTCCTTTGGCGTCACGCATATAACATAGTTTTGGCCCGAATTAATCAATATAGGCGCAGAAATATTTACTTCACCAGGTTATGTCCTATTGTAAAGACATGTCGACACGTCTTTTAGTGATTCGGACTATATGCACAGTCAATTCTGTATATAGCCAACCCTTTTAATAACAAGCACACATAAAAAGCTTTTTTCTTAAACTTATAAGCTCGGTATAGAATACCGGTATATAGATATTTCATAAAAATTTCACTGTATAGTAGTAGAAGTGACCATATTGTGCCTTGAACTGACAAATCGGATTGTTTAAATTATCCGGCAGGTACTATATAATATTAATACACGTGACTCTCGATATAACGGAGGCCATGGTTCCAGTCCTTTGCTCCGTTATATCAAAAGCTCCATAATATCAAAATCTCATGATATA